GGCTAATAAAATGATTGTTCCAGTGTTCGAAAATTCCTCTTCTTCTCAAAAGCTTAAGCGCCTGCCCTATTTAAAACTACTCTTATGTTGAGCCTATTAAAGGAGAAAGAGGAGAAGCTTTGTCGGTATTTCCTTCTGTGTCACTGTCTATCGCAATGCCACTTCCTAAAGGAGATCTAGCTTGAGCTCCAGGGCAAAACTACCCACAACAGTATATAAAAACCTGTTAGGAGCATCCCTGACCGACTCACTTGCACGCTGACCTGATGACTCGCCCTATGCCGCGCTTTCGATCGTGCGCGTAACTATATCGCACAGGCTGCCGATGGGATTAGTACTTTGCCCAACCAATCGGGTGAACCGTAAAGCCAGTCGATCTGCTAACCCCTCAAGGACACTATTTGATTGGTTCGATTGCATTCCGATCTTTTAAATGCGCGTATGCTCTTTGTTTGGCTCTAAATGCATTGTACTATGCACGTCGCTTAACTTCCTTTCTTCCGTCCTTGCTGTCCGGTCCCCCTTTGGGGATTTGGCCGAGGTGTTGTTGGATGGGTGACTATCGAGGCTTTTGGCAATGTTATACCTGAGCCAAGACACACACACAGACGTTGTACGTCGTCCCTCCAGCTTGACTCCAGTTCGACTGTCAATGCCGTCGGTCAATGTGCACAGCACAGCTGTCAACAGAAAGTATGTGTACCTAAGGCACAAATGCGCAGCAGCTGCTGCCCTGACTGATTAATCATCGAGGTGGACTCACAGTTTCAAGTTATTTGGGTGCGTGGGTGATGGTAAATTCCAACTGACTCACACCCAGAAAGTACAACAGATGTCATTTGAATGCTGTCTGGAATTCAAAAATGCCATTTTTTATTGGAGAAGCCTATTTGAGTAGAGTCGTAAGCTTGATTATCCTGCAGCCTAATCCCCAGACACTTCAGTCACGTCAGGATGCCGGCTGCCTGAAAAAACTACACCCTCCGAAAGAATGACTATTATTTTCACTATACTTTAATAAATTTAATATTATTTTGTTAAAAGCATGTACTCAACGATTCTCCCTTCTACTCTTTTGGTAGTAGATTATGTCTTCTTACAGTTTTATACCTGCAGAAAGGGGTGTCCTAAAAAGCTTCTACTTATGGCATTTTGAGGCCAACAAATGTCAATTCGTGCAGCATCGTTTCTGTCTACTCATAAATGATGCTTACAAAAAAATCCACGGTCTACGGCCACTGCAAAATTTAATGAGCCCTATGTGGCCTCTTTTTAATAGCATAGCTTGTGGTTTAGAAACTCTGAAGTCAGGTTTTAACAACAGGTTGCCTTCAAACATATTCAGCAATTGAAAACAGATTAAAAGCAAAATATACCCTTTCTTAGGGTGTCAACTTTGAAAAAAAGTGTAATTTACCAACAAGTGAGTACATGAAAGCATATTAGCATGCATATTTTCTATTAAATCTATTTCAAGTTATAAGGGCATAGAAGATAATTTATAAAAAAATATTACTAATTAAGCGTTCCTTTTAACCGCGTGTAGTTTTTACAGGTGGCCGGGAAAAAACGCGTTCAAAAGCCGACTGAAATATCTTGAAATTCTCCTGCGCGATACTACATAGTATAGCCCTACTTTAGTGGTCTTTTCCAATAGAAAACACGTTTAAAAATTCGTATAAATAGGAAATCCGGCATCCCAAGAAATTTCATTGAAAGAGAAGGTCTTAACTGGGAAAAAAATGGTAAATTTATCTAAAGCAACGTTTCCCAGGTGCAAATTTAAAAATAGCAATAACAGCGAGATGATTTATTGGATCCATATCATTTCGAGAGAGCTCTTCAGTTGCTGCCTCTCATTGCGTAACGTGAATCACATAGGAGAAAATACAGATTGAATTCATACAGAAGAATCGATATAAACACAAGGTTATAAGACGTGGCCAAGTGGCTAATCAAAAACATAAGGGGTTTAAACGCTATGGTCAGCAAAAAACGGGGGAAAACGTCTGAGGTAACAATTTGGGAGGATAAATGG